GAGAGGCAGAGCTTCCAGGAAAACAAAGGTCATATTCACGCTGCACTCTGCCCTGGTCAGGCCACATCTATTATACCAGTTCAGTTCCAGGAACCACAGTTTAAGAACAATGGTAATAAAGTGGTGACTTTCCAGAGAAGGGCTACCAGAATGTTGAAGGACTCAAGCTGGTGACATATGAGTATTGACTAAAGGATCTGGGGATGTTTAGGCTGAAGACAAGAAGACTGAAAGGGGTTGGGGGGAGATCTCTATCTTTTAGGGCTAACCAGTTGGACTTGGCCTGTTTGGCCCCCAGAAGGTAGAACCAGGAGCAATGAGTGGAAATGATAAAGAGGAATATTTAGTCTTGGTATAAGAAAAAAATTCCTTAGACTTAGTACTATCCAAAGGTAGAAAGGGCTGCCTGGGAAGGTAGTGGTTTCCCCCTCATTGGAGCTCTTCAAGAAAAGGCTGGATACTACCAGGTTCTGGAGGGTGGCGCCAGCTAGGTCTCCCAGGAAACTTTCTTCAGTGCAGATCCTGCCTGGATCTCCGCTTCCCAAATGTTGTGGGTCTGGGTCCCTCCAGGGCCCTAGCTACAGGGTGATCATGGCTGATCACACCACTTCAATGAACAGAGATTCACCAATTATAATCTTTCCAGTAAGATAGAAGTCCAGCAGAACTTATCATCTGCCCTGTTGATGATTTCTCTTGTAGAGAGACACCTGGCCCATACCATCTACTTGCTATTGCATTCTAAGGATTCCTGGGCACTGAGTATGGTGTTACATGCCTGTAATCCCTGGTGTCAGATAGGCTAAAATTGACAGATCTCTTGTGCTTGGGAATTCTGAGCTTCAGTAGCCCAAGACTTCAATGGCAGGTGTCTACACTGTTTAGCATCAATATAGTGAGCACTCAGGAACTGGGAGGCCATCAGGCTACCTAAGGAGAGGTGAATTGATCCAGGTTAGAAACAGAGTAAGTCAGAGATACTGTGCAGATCAGTAGTAGGACCAGGCCTCGGAGTCTTTCCTGCACTTGCAGCCTGGGTGAGACAGGGAGACATAGTCTTAAAAATAAATCGGTAGACCCTGGTTGACTTTCCTTGACTTGTCAGGCGCCTTGTAATGATAATTCTTGTTTAGGAATGGGCTGGACTGGATGTCCACTGAGGCCCCTTACAATTCTGAAATAATTTGACTCAGTGACTCTGTGATTCTGTGAATTGAATACCCACTCTTAGAGGGTGGGAGGAAAGGAACCAACCAAGGTGATGAAGAAAGAATGATTGAGCAGGTAGGAGGAGAACCAGTAGAGAACAGTGTCAGTAGGCGAGGGAGAAGGAAGCAATAAGAGGGAATAAGCAAGCGACAGTATATCCAATGCTGCAGAATAGGCAAAGAAGAAGAGAACTGAGAAAAAAATGAGATTTTTGCAATTCAGGGGCCATTAGAATGGTGAGCACGGAAGTCAGATTGTAGGGGATTGAGTGTGTGGTAAGTGTAGATTATTCCGTCTATCACTTTGGCAGTAAAGAAGAAGGAGATGTTAAGATGATAAGATGAGTCAGGAGCAGGGTCCCTGGAAGAATTTTTGTGGTGGTCGTTGTTTTAGCAAAAGAAAGATCTGAGTTAGTCTGTAGGCAATGGGGAAGGAGGGAGAAAGATTGAGAGTGAATACAGTGGGGGTGTGAAGGCAATTGGAATTATGGACATAAGTGGAGGGGTTAACCTTGGTATATAAAAGCATTTCCTCATTCTCTGAGGCAGGAGGGAAGGTGGGTGAAGAAATAAAGAAGTTTTAAGGATGGAAGATGATAGCGCTTACTCAGTAAAGTAGGAGGCAAGCTTATCTTCTGAGAGATGGTATGTAGCGGTAGTGTTGGGGCCTTGAACAGAGAAAAGAAAGTTCGGAATGTGAAGATTTATATAAGCAAGAGTATAAGCTTCTAGACGATGTACCACTTCTGTTTTCATCTAGTATTCACTCCAGCTACTAGCACAGATATGCATTTAGTCAATTAATTCTTATTCACATTTATTTATTATTCATTCCCTGAAGCTCAATACCATTCCAAACCAGAAACATTCCCATGCATCATCCACCAAACATCCGTGGAAGGTCGAATGGAGGGTTGCGTCAGGGCCTGACCTCCCCTTTTACAGAGGAAGAAACTGTACCAAATATCCCTTTTTTAATATCGCCCACCCCAAATGGTAGTAGAAACGGGACCAAAAGCTGGGCGTCCTTAATGTCTAATCCTGGGCTCTATCCACGAGATCAGGTTGCTCCTTATCTACTGTGTTTTGACATCTTGGTGTAGGTGTGTGAGAGGAGGGGCCTAGTTCTTGGCAGAGGGAGTCATTTATCCTGCTTTGCTCCACCACGCTGCATTCTGAGGTTCAGAATCTGACAAAACTTGCTCAGGCTCCCCACCCATTTAAGGCAAGACTGATTCTTGTTTGTCTTGGATATGTGAACTCTTCTTCCCTTTCTACCCACATCTCCTCCCTGGTCCTCTCACAGTGCCTTCTCTACTGAGTCTTGAAAGTACCCTTCATTTCTTCTCTGTGAGTGCTCACCCTGACTCAGATGATTCCCTTTATCCCAAAGCCAACCACCATCACCAATACCCTGAAGTATTTTACCAAAAGCTTTCCTTGTTACCCCTTCATAGCTCTGTCTGCTGTTCACAACCTTGCTTCCTACCACTGAGTCCCCTCTTTCTGATATCCCCTCTTTCCCACTCCTTATATTCCTACTCCATGAACCTGATGCTTCTTCCTTGATGTATCCCATGTCCTCACCCAGGCCTTCCCTGATTAGTCTAGCCTAAATCTGTCTCCCTTGTGTCTGGCTTCTCCCCTCTCCAATCCATCCTTGACACAGCTGCCCAATTGATATTCCTAAAGCACTGGTCAGGTCTTGGCCCTCTTCTGCTTAAGAATCTTTGGGGGCTCTGTATTGCTTCTAGGATAAAAATATAAATTCGGTTTGGCATTTAAAGCTCTTCACAGTTTGGCTCCAATCTGTCTTTCCTGGCCCTTCACACACTCTTTGTTTCAACCAAATCGGCCGATTTAGTGTTCCCTGTGCCCAAGATACCATCTCCTACCCTCATGCCTCTGCACAAGCTGAAAAGTTTTCCTTCCTCACCTTCATAATCCCAAGCACAAGTCAAGTGCCACTCCTCCAGGAGGACTTTTCTTATCTCTTCTCCTACCCCTCTAAATTTCTTTGTGCTTACTCAGGGACACCAGGAATACCAGATTTGAAGTCAGGGAGGTGGGGGTTCAAGTTCCAGCTGTGAAGCGTGCTGACTCAAGCTTTTCCCTCTGTGGAGCATGTGTCACCTTGCATTGGTAGAGGTAGCTTCATCTTCAGTAGTTCCCCAAACCACTAAAATCACAGGTTTATTCCAAGAAAAAATCATTTCTGTTTGTGTCCATGTTGTTCTCTGCCCCTCCACCTCAAAAGAATGCAGACTCCTTGAGGGAAGAAACTTTCATTTTTGTCTTCACCTTCCACTCGAAATACTTAGCACATAGTATACCCCCCCACACTCAATACTTAGCACACAGTATCCCCCCCACTCAACACTTAGCACACAATATCCCCTCCCCCCAACTCAATATTTAGCATACAGTAAGTAAATGCTTATTTAATTAAATGGAACCTATCTCTGGAGTCTCTGGATTCTTGGTGTACTAATTCTCTATGTGGCAGATTTTGTGCATCATTATACAGTCTCTCATTTGCTATTTCATATGTATAGTCCTAGGAGCAAGGCTATAAGCTCCTTGAGGGCAGGGACCATGTTATATCCATTTGGTATCCCCCATAGTATTAGGCAACACAGTGGTTTCTCCATCAATGCTTGTTGCTTGATTACAATCCCCTAAGTCATTTTTTCTTCAAAGTATGACCTCAGAGTCCTTATTTCTTGGTAAGTAGAATAGTTTCTTGCAGAAGTGTGTGTGTGCCTTGATGTCCAAGGCACAGGAGAGTATGCTTAGCATGGACCCTGAGATTGACCTGTACTTGCTCCTCCTGACAATAAAGTTTTAACAGGGATGGGCACAGTTAACTGATTGCTTGTTCTCCCACAACCCTTCATGTATATTTTCCACACCCTTCTGGCTCTACTGCTTCTCCCACTCCTTTCCCTAATAGATCTCAACTTCTAGCTGACACTCATCAACCAAGCATAGTTCACCACCCCACCCCCTTCCTGCAGAAGGCCTTATTGCCTTTTATGTTACTGGAAGGGAAACTGAGCCACCCTTTGATGAAAAGTTCTAAGAACCAGGCAAGAATCAGGCTATCTGCAGGCTATATGCAGGTATCTATTGGTAGCTGCCCCAAGCAATAGGACCCACCCCCAACCTACTCTTTCCTCTCTTTTTCCCTTTCTCCAATCAGAAACCCTGAACTGGGGCTTCCTGGCCCAACACTTCTTAATTCCGCGCCTTCTCTCTTTTAATTATTTCCTATTTATTCTGTATGAGCTTGTTTGTACATACTTGTTTGCTTGTTATCTTCTCCATTAGATTGCAAGCTCTTTGAGAGCAGGGGCTATCTTTTGCCTCTTTCTGTATCCTCAGCACTTATCACAGTGCCTGGCACATAGTAGGCACTTAGTAAATGTTTTTTGACTGACTGACTACTCAGCACCCTCTCTGCCTATAGACCATTATTCTGAAGTTTGGGGGCTGCAAGTCAAGTCAGACATTTCCAAGAAGGGGCAACTTTTCTCATGGAGGAATGGGGTGGGGGGGGGGAAGGGTGTCAGTCATCATCAAAAGCAACTCTGTTCCCTGGGAGACCCCCCCCTCCCCTGCCCTTTCCTCCTCCCACCCAGCCCCAGGGAGAGCAGGGACAGAGCTTCTTTATCACCTGACGCTGTGCAGTCACCGATCCCATTGGTGGAGCCAGATTCAGTTGCGCTCTCTCTCTCTCTCTCTCTCTCTCTCTCTCTCTCTCTCGCTCCCCTTTTCCCTCTCCTTCCCTTTCCTCTTCTCCTCTTGTTCTTTCCCCCAGTCTCTTCTCTCCACGTTGCTTTGATTTTTCTTTCTCTCCTCTCTGTGAGGGTAGGGGACGTTTCACTGGAGACAGCAGGCAGTGTGTGCCCCAGAGAGAGAGAGACAGGCGCTGCCAGGGGAAGAAGCCGCATGGAAGAAAGGTCCTCAGCTGCCAGGAGCCCAGCAAGACAGTGCTGCTGCTTGTAAAACCGGGAGTGCAGTGCCTTCTGGTGGCCCTAGCACCGCAGGGGAGCAGGTCTGGACAGTGGTCCCCGTCCTTGCCAGGTCTTCTTTTGCAGTACCTGGTAGAGACAGGTAAGGTGCTCTCCCTCCCAGAAGCAACCTGATGCCCCCGGGGGCATTGCAACCCTTGGGATAATTAGGAGAGGGGGGTGGCTAGGAGCTACAGACTGTGGTCCTCTTTGCATTGCTGTGGATGCTCACCCTGGTATGTGTGTAGGACAAATGGCATTCTCCCCACCCCTTCAGGGGGCTTATGGTAAAAGTGAGGACTAGTCTCGGGCTCCAGGGCACAAGACTGCTCTGTCACCTCGTGACCAGTGCTGCTGCAGTGAACGGTGCCAATGGGGACACAGCAGGTTGGGAGGAAAGGCTTCTGCTGGCATATGGGCTGCTTGTGGGTATGTGCGTGGCAGAAATATGGGTGCCTGTGTGCGCAGCATGTGTGCATGTTGGGGGGGTACAGCTCCTTAGATGCACAGAGACATATGAGGGCAGAGCAGGAGGGGGATGTCAGTGTCTGCGTATGGGTTTATGCCAATATATGTGTTTTAATCTGCGTGACCATGTGTACCAGTCTCTGAGTTCCTGTGTCCATGTGAGTGTCCATGTGAAGAGCACGGGAGCAGTTTATTGGTGGAAGGCTACTTTGGCATGTGTTGGCATGTGCACACGTGCAGTAAAATGGGCACGGCATGGGTATGTTGTGTGTATCATGTGTGCACATACAAGTATGTGGGGGTGTTCCTCCACCTTGGGGGAGGAATGTGCTCCCGTCATCTCTCCATGTGGGGAAGCATAACTGTAGAGCCGGAAAGTGATTGGTAGGTGGGAGAGAGAATAAATGTTCATGTGTGAGGGTGTCTTTAGATGCAGGTCTCTGTGGGTGTATGATCTGCATAGGTTTGCTTTAGCCCTAACATAAGGTGTACTGTTAAAGCATATCTTGAGGCAAGCTAGTCATACATGCATTTCTGTGCTTGTGTGCCTGTGGAGGGCACCAATGACCTGTGTGTATATATGCACCCGTGGATCAATATGCATGTAGCTTTCTTGTGGAGGTAGAGGCATATGTCTATACCTGCTGTATGCACTCATCCCAGAATATGACTTGTGAGTCGGAATGCATATGAGCTAACACGCACATACATGAGGATGTCTATGGATAGGACACCTACGTGGGTGGGATAAGCACGGGGGACTGTTAAAACATGGAAGGTCATCATAGGCAAAAGGTATAGGGAGACATAGAAGAATGTGTTTCTATGGAGTTGGAGTAGTCATGTAGAGGTATGTGAGTTGGTATGGACAGGCTGGGGAGAGGGGGATGTACATATGGGTGGATATATTCATGTAGATTTGGAAGGCAGTGTTTATCTACGAATATGCCGACACGTGGGTGTGAGAATGTATGTCTATATGTGTGTGTGTGTGTACATGAGAGTGTAGGTGTTTCTCTAGGGTGTTGTCTTGGCCTGTCCCTCACACCCTGCCCTTCCCCAACTTATCTGGGCGTAGGAGACTGAGTGGCTTACCCCCACCCTCCATCCACAGGAGCTCTGGCTTTATGGCTCTCCCAGTATCAGCCATCTTTACGCGCCCAGAGCAAAGATGGTGGAGGCTTTTTAGCCTTCCCAGATCCTAGGGAGAGCAGGGGGAATGGGGAAAATAACCAGGAGAGGGGCAGTGGCCCAGGCACCAAAGGTCGCATTTTCTAAACCCCTCCTCAGACAGCAGCTGTTCCCTTTAGTAGAACCTGAAGGGATGTGGGCATCAGTCTAGAAGTTCATACCTTCTCCACACAAATTGGTGAGGGGGCCTCTTGGTTGTATACCAAGGCTGAGCTGTAGCTCTACCGTCGTCTCTGTGTACATGGAAAAGGTACAGAGGTTTGCTCGGCATTGTCAGTCATATCCCACTGATTTGTTAGCTGGCTTGTTCTCCTAGGGCTGCTCCCAGGGCAGCAGATTCTGTTCTGTAATCCTGTGCTTTCTCCTGGGTGGCATTCAACTGCTTATTTTCCAAAGGATTCTAACATCTACATATCCCCACCCATGCCCATGAACAACCCATGTGCCATACACTCTAGAGAGACATCCAAATGGTGCTGTCAATCAATTAATGAGCATTTTTTAAATTTCTTTTTTTTTTTTGACTAGGCAATGGGGTTAAGTGACTTGCCCAGGATCACACAGCTAATAAGTGTTATGTGTTTGAGGCTGGATTTGAACTCAGGTCCTTCTGAATCCAGGGCCAGTGCTCTATCCACTGTGCCACCTAGGTGCCCCCTAATAAGCATCTATTAAGCACCTACTATGTGCCAGGCAATGTGTTGAGTGCTGACAAGGCACAGGGATAGCTGATTGAGCTTCATAAGTGGCAAGGAAGTATTTTGGAGTTGAAACACCAAGGCACAATATAGAAATGACACCATTAAAAGCCCGATCCTCTCCCCACCCATACACACACATTGTACCTGCCGCCTAAACATCTCACAGTTAAATGTGGAGGCTCTGAGCAGTCTTAACTGAAGGGGAAAGTATAAACTGAACAGTTAGCTAAAAATAAAAGCATCTATTTCTCAGACAGGTACGAAGTAAACCCACCACAGCTCCCCCTAACTCTTGGAAAATGGACAGAATAGACAAGGACATTGCATTCAGAGGAAAACCAGGTAGTCTTCTTCAGGGACCTACATTGTATAAAGATGAAAAGACAAATGAAGGTTAAAGAGAAGAGAAAGAATGGAAGTGAACCAGGGAAGAATAATAACCAAAAATTATATAGCACTTTAAAATTCACCCTACTTTACAGTATACTTTTAGTTCATTTGATCCTCACAACAACTCTGCCCAGTAAGCATTATTGCCCAATTTTTCAGATGAGGAAACTGAGGCTCAAAGGTTAAGTGACTTCAAGGGTAGGATTTCAACCTAAGCCTCTCAGGTTCAGAATTCTTTCCACTACAGCATGGGTAGGCATGTGGGAGGAAAAGAAAGAGAGGAGAAGAGATGGAGTGAGAAAGAAAGCATGGGGTTGTAAATGGAATAGAAAGAAAGGGGAGAGAGATCACAGAGACCAGGGCTCTTCCAATCACTCGTCTCCAGGCTTCCTCCTCTCTCCCTCCATTACAGAATAAGGAAAGACCTCACACGTAGAATCCACTTCTCTTTGAGGGGAGTCTCTAAGTTGGCATCATCATGCCTGAGGAAGTCACACCAATGGATGATGCCCTTGAAGCCTGGCTAAAAGAGTCATCTTCTTTCTGCTGTGGCACCTTCTAGTTAAAAGCACCCATGATGGTGTGGGGTGAAACGGGCTAGGAATCAAAAACATAACTGTCCTGCTGTAGAGGCAAGGAAAATTATAGCATAATGAATAGCCGATTAGCCCGAAAGTCAAAAGACCTGAGTTTCGACCTAAGGTCAAAAGATGTGCCTCAGATGCTCTCTCCCCAGGTGATCATTTCTCTCCTTTCAGTTTCGTCCTCAGCTATATGGAGATAACAATACTTATGCCACCTAGGTCACACAATTGTCTTCAGGAGATTGATTTGCAAGCCTGATTTAGACGTAAATTATCATGATTATCCTTTGGCATTACTCCCATGAAGCATCAGAGAGAAGGGTAGGGGAGATGTTGGGAGAAAGAGGAGTGAAACAGATGGTACTACAACGAAGCAGGCATTTATTAAGCACTTACCATGTACCAGGCACTGATGGGACAGGTAAGAGGGAAAGAGAAAGATATTGTGATAGCATGAGATACACAGAGATCCTGAGAGACAGAGGGGAGAGGAGAAAACCGAGAGATTAAAGGCTGACTATTAACAGCACAGGAGGAAAGGCGCCCCCTGTGACGTTAGGATATGATACCCACATCCTATCCGTCAACTCCTTCCAGGCACACCTGCTTTGTGCCTGTACACATCTGTGCCACCTGTACAGGGTGGGCTATTGACCTGATTGAGTTATGAAAGTCTGTTTTTTAAAAGAGTTTTTAAAAGAGATAAAGGAGAGAATGCACACTTCTCTCCAATATCCCCTGTGACCGTTGGATCTCTGAATTTACCTCCTTTCTCTTTATTGAATTCCCTAAAAGTTACCTCTTGCTATTCCCCTTCATTTTCTTTTCTCCATTATCTCCTCCCCTCCTCCATCACTGTCCCTTTCTTTTTTTGATGCCTGCTAGCCCAGAGGCACCCCCCCTTCCTCCCCAGCTCCATCTGCTCAGAATCTGTCCTGCCCTGTGCTTGCAACATTCTCATTGCCTCTGCCACCTGCCAGGTGCCGTCTGCTACGCCTTCCCCTCTACAGAGAGCTGAGAACTGCAGGGGGGCTGCAGAATGGGAGAAAGCACCCTTCTCACCAAGCTGGGGGAGGAGAGTCCTCCCACTCGACAGAACCCTGATTCTCCCTAAATATTTCTCTCAGATCAGATCTGGGGATATGGGGACATTGGCATGGCTGCAGTGAACACCCTCTCTGAACCTAGGTTTGCATACGTTTGGAGGTGGAGGGCAGGGAGGGTGGCGGGGAAGATGGCAGGAAGAAATGGTCCTGGGGAAACCATAGGGAAGTACCATTGACTGCCCCCCACCATTCCTTAGGAGCTGAGCCAGAGGAGAGCATGGAAATGCTGCTGTCCACTCCACACAGCATTGAGATCAATAACATCACCTGTGACTCCTTTCGCATCTCCTGGGCCATGGAGGGCAGTGACCTAGAGAGGGTCACTCATTACTTCATTGACCTCAACAAGAAGGAGAATAAGAACTCCAACAAATTCAAACATAGGGTGAGTAGGTGGCATATTGGGTAACTGTCTTCTTCCCCCGGGAGTATTTTGAGGCTGAAAAGCCAAGATGAAATTTAGAAATAATACCACCGCTGTCTGACACTCACCCCTTCACATACACACACATTGCACCTGCAACCCAAGCATCTCACAGCAATACCCCTTGGGCAGTTGTTGAGGCTTCAAGGCAGCCAGCAGGGACTGGGAGTGAGGTGAGGGATTGATATCCTGCTCACTAGGTCCAAGTCTTAAGTTCAAATCCAGCTCCAGCCTTAGATTCTGGAACCCCCTGTGAGTGTTGGTTGGGAGGTCCCTGTGGACAGGGGATATGATCCTGTCTTCTACCCCAGCTTTCAATGCCCAATGGCAGGCAGTCTCACCCCTAGACTGTGTCTATCCCTGCATCCTCCACCCCGGTTTGTCGAGGAAGATGTCAGTGTTACCCACGGTTTCCTTCATCTGTGAGGCATCTCTCTTCTACAGGAGGAGATCTCCACTCTGGGGAGTGTGGAGAGCACAGAAGGAAGGTTTCCACTTTCCCAAACTGGGGGAAAAGGAAGGGAGAAGAGGGAGGTGGGAAGGAACTGGTCCACATGATCATAGAACATCAAAACAGGTTACTCACCATCCCCCCCACCCTGAAACTGTTTCCTTTGATCTAGGTGTCTTTTGGCAGGCCAGTTGCCACAGCAACTGAATGCTTAGCATCACCACCATCACCACCACCACCGCCACCGCCATCCCTCTACTCCCCCCTCCAACATAAGTCATTTTTTCTTTCCTCCCCGGCTTCTTAGCATTTGCTGTTGCCATGGAGACAGCCCTGCAGTGCGGAGTGCTCTTGGAGAAGTCTTCCTCAAAAAAAGAAGGCCTCACCGCCCCCAACCTTAGGGCCCTTCCTCCGCCAGTCTTTCTTATCTAGCTCCCAAGAAAACTGGATGTCAGGGGAATTTGGGGGCTGGGGAATGCTGGGGACAATCTGAGCTGCATTAATGATCATGCTTGGCATCAGTGGGGCTGGTTAGTTCATGGGTGGTGGTGTGAATCTTCCAAGCCTTGGGCCCTCGTTTTGTGAGACCCACCCCCGCCCCCTCGCCAGGGGACGGTGGTGTCCTGGTGAGTAGAAGGGAGGTTTCAGGTATGTTGGAGGCAATGGGGCAGGACGGCCACCTAGCCTGACTCCTGGTTTCTCCTCTTCTTCCCATCCTGTCCTATAGGATGTGCCCACAAAACTGGTGGCAAAAGCAGTTCCTCTGCCCATGACAGTGAGGGGTCACTGGTTCCTGAGCCCTCGCACAGAGTACAGCGTGGCTGTGCAGACAGCGGTGAAGCAGAGCGATGGGGAGTACCTGGTGTCTGGGTGGAGTGAGACAGTCGAGTTCTGCACAGGAGGTAGGGAAAGGATCTCTGTGACCCAAACAACTCCGCCTCCAGGACCCGTTTACCTGTAGGTCCACAGGCAAGGCTCCCCAAGAGCCTCCTCAGACTCTGGCCTTTGGCCAAGGGGTCAGATTCCCAGCTGTCCCCTCCTCCCAGCCTTGCCACATGAAGGATAGTGGATTCAGCCCCTGTTCTACCCAAACTTGGCAAGGGGGCGAGTAGAGGATGGTGTACACACCTGGCACCCTGCTAGCCTTCTCCAACCAAATTCCCCTTTTCCGTTGCTAGGGTTAACTTATGAGTGTGACTTGAAGGGTGTCAGGAGGGTTCACACCCCCTAATGTTTCCCTGTTGAGAAGTTTAATGCTGTCCTGTTCTCTGGGGGCCTCTTCTAGCTCAGTTACTCCCAGGAAGGGAAGCTCCCTCACAGCTCAGGAACTTAACACAGATTATTTGATCTGCTCCTCTCCTCAGGGACAGAAGAGAAGGGGAGATGAAGGGAAAGACATTGAAAAGAGAAAAAGAAAAGAGCATCGCCAGAGGTGGGGGTGGCAAGCAATATCCAAAGCATCGGCCTCAGTGTTTTGCTGATGGCTGGGGTCTGCCTATCACATCCGTTAATGAACCTGCCACAAATCCAGGGTCCAGACAGTTGTCCTGGGATTTGGTTGGTCATAATTAGGGGAGGCAGGATTTGCAGAATAGTCTGGGTAGCAAAAGGTGGCATTGCCCCCAGCTGGCATAAGACCCATGATCACTTGGGCTCCTTGTAGATTATGCCAAAGAGCACTTGGCCCAGCTGCAAGAGAAGGCTGAACAGATCGCTGGACGTATGCTCCGATTCTCTGTCTTCTATCGGAACCAGCACAAGGAGTACTTTCAGCATGCCAGGTACAGTATGTTTGGGTTCCCCAGAGGTTTGCACAGGGGATCGTGTATTTCTTGCCCCCAGTTTGAGTCAGCCGTTTCGTCCTACTATCCCTTTCACCTCTCTGTACATAGGGTCATCCCTTCCTCCCAGTCACCCTGGTTGGAATTGTCTCAGCATCCTCAGCTGCGTGGGAAATCTGAGACATGGGGGGTCCTCACCCAGCATATGTGGGTGTCCACCCCATTTATCTCAACCGGTAGAACATGCTGCCACTGAATTTATGGACTGGATCCCCATGAGGGTCAGTTTGCTTCACTCTGTTCCCCAACTTGACCTTCAATACTGAACAGATCTATTGTCTCCCAAATTGACCATCCCCACTACTAGAACAGCTATTAAAAAGTGTATGCTTTTGGATGGTGGGTTAGTAGACTATATCACTCTCATATGTTAAATGTTAAGAAATCATTATTCTTGGCTTCAGATAGGGACAGAGGGCTGAGAGAATGATACAGGATCACAGATCTAAAACTGGAAGGGATCCAGAGGCCATCTAATCCAACCCCTTTATTTTACAAGTGGGGAAACTGAGGCCCAGAGAGATTAAGTGATGTGTGCAAGGTCACAGGAGTAGTCATCAGAGGTGGAATTTGAACACAGAGCCTGAGCTCTATCTGCTGTATGCCACATTGCTTCCCACAATTTTAATTCTGTTCCAATCAGTCAGTCAATAAGCATTATTAAGTGCCTATGATGTGCTAAGCACAGTTCCACTTCTGAGGGGAATCGATACTGGCATTTTCTTCAAGATAAGATGGTTCTGGTAAAGCAAGACAGGTACAATGGAAAAGACACTGAACTGGGAGAGAGAAGAGCTGAGTTTAGCTTAGACTCTGTAGCAGCTCTGTGTATGACACAGTGTATTGAGCCCAGGCTTGGAGTCAGTAAGACCTGCATTCAGATATGAGCTCAGACACTTAGCAGCTGTGTGACCCAGGGCAAGTCACTTCACCTTCTTATGACTGTTTCTTCGACTGTAAAATGGGGATAATAATGGTAGCCACAAATCATTTAACTTTCCTGTGACTCAGTTTCTTTCATTGTAAAATGGGGATAACAATGGCACCCATACCTCAGGGTTGTTTTGGGAACCGAATGTGATATTTGTAAAGTGCTTTGCAAACTTCAAAGTGCCATGCAATTAACTAACTTTCAGCCTGACTCTGAGCCAGCCTCTTGTTTCCTCCCTGAGCTTTTGCTTCCCCAGTTTATAAAATGAGGGGTTTGGTTTAGATTGCCTCTGAGTTCTAAGAACTTCCAGCTCTAACGTGCTAGGCTTCTCCATCTGACTCGAAGGAACTAGTGATCAGGATGTCAGAACCTGAGAGGTGGGGCAAATAGGCTCCTCCTCTTTTAACCGCAAAGCAGCAACAGGCTGCTAACAGATGCCATTCTCTCCCCAACCTCCCTCCTGGCCCGGCAGGACTCACTGTGGGAACATGCTTCAGCCTTACCTGAAGGACAACAGCGGTAGCCATGGCTCTCCTACCAGTGGAATGCTCCACGGTGTCTTCTTCAGCTGCAACACTGAATTCAACACGGGCCAGCCCCCTCAGGACTCCCCATATGGCCGCTGGCGCTTCCAGATCCCAGCCCAGCGCCTCTTCAACCCCAGCACCAACCTCTACTTTGCAGACTTCTATTGTATGTACACAGCCTACCACTATGCCATTCTGGTATTGGCCCCCAAAGGCTCCCAGGGTGACCGTTTCTGCCGGGACCGCCTTCCCCTTCTGGACATTGCCTGTAACAAATTCCTGACCTGCAGTGTGGAGGATGGGGAGCTGATCTTCCGCCACGCCCAGGATCTCATCCTGGAGCTCATCTACACGGAACCCGTCGACCTGTCGCTTGGCACGCTGGGTGAAATCAGTGGACACCAGCTGATGAGCCTTTCCACTGCTGATGCCAAGAAAGACCCCAGCTGCAAGACCTGCAATATCAGTGTGGGGCGCTAGGGACTCCTAGGGGCTGGAGGGAGGAGGGAATGGGTGGTGAGGGGACCGATGTGGAGAGGACAAGGGAGAAGTGGTACATGGGAGGGAACGTCAGTTGGCATTGGGCTAGGGAGCTGGGCTTCTCTCTTGTCTCCTCCTGACCCCCATTCCCATGCCATGCTGCCCTCTTTCCCCTTCTCTCCCAGCACCAGTGGGATAGAGGGAGCGTGGGTGAATGTATCCCCTTTTCAGCTGGCACTGGCAACTTTTCACTCCCATTGGAAGCAAGTCACAAAAACCCATCCTTGTCCAGAAGGGCCTGGCTGTTGCTTCCATAGGTGTGGCCCACCCTGTGTCTGATGGATTTGGCAAAGGTGTTGACCAGGTGTGGGTGAGCTGGCTTTTTTTGGAGGTTTCCTTTCTCTTCTAGTCTCCCTGTTCTGCTGTTCCCGCTTTACTCTTACCTGCCCCTAGGTAGTACTGCCCTAGTCCTGGATACGGCTTCTGGTACTCAGTCCCAGCCCTCATGACCACTCTTAGGCTTCATCTTCCTGAAGCTTGTCTCCAGGAAAGACATATAGGGAGGCTTAGGGAGCTCTTCTCCTCAGCCCCAGCCCCCTTATCCAGAGCCAACCGTAAAACTCCCCCGTGTCTTTTTTTGAGCCATGCACTCAAATACCTATTCCCTAAGCAGCTCCCACCTCCAGGTCCAGACCTCTTTCCTCTATAAATAGTCTTCTTTCAATGTGACTTCTTGGCTGTCCCTTGCCCCTGCTATATCCCTAGGAATGGCTACCCTCACCCTACCCCAGGGGTCTCCTGCTTCCCAGAATAGGGGCCTTCTTTCTTTTCTACACCTTGTGGGCACTTAGCTGTTGTTTTTTTCCCTTTCTTTTCCTTCCTGGGAGTTGATGTGCCCTGAGACACCTGCCCCTTTGTCCCAAAGCAGCAGAACTCAGACTATAATTAATTGAGGTTGAGGATGGGGAACAAGGGGTAAAGAAGGCACTGGTACTCAGAAATGCCCTTTCTCCAGCAGGAACAGACTCTTTACCCCAATCAGGGCCAGCATGGAGCTGGAGTGCACAGACTTTCCTCCAGGGGTCTCTGGCACCATGCCTAGATAGGCTGCTTCTCTCTCTATTTGCCATGATTCTGTGCCTGTGTTGTAACTGTGCGTAAGTCAGACTGTGGCTTCTCCCACAACCACCTGCCCAGGCCTTTTCTTTTCACCTGGAGGAATCTGGCATAGCCTACCAGGGCCCATTGCATTTTGCCAGAGCAGGTCCCAATTGGATGTGGGGTCCCTCTTGTGTTGGGATTACTTGAGACTCCCCAGGAAAACATGCCAAGTTTGGGGCAGCCACCCAGGGCTTCCCAGTGATTTCACATAGTTGTTATTTAAGCGTGATCACAGGTTGGGGGTAGACTCCTAGGAAGGGGTCTGACAACAAGTGAATCCCTTCTTGGGATGGGTAGTTAAGGGGAGGTCAGAGCTTAAGTCAGGCAGATAAGGAGGTAACAGCAGCTTTCATAGATAAGGAGATAACCAGGCCAAAGGAGTAGCAGATACTTTTCTGAGAACAAGACAACTTTATCCCCAGATGGAAGGATTGAGTGGCTAAAGGACTGTGTCCCTGGGATGGAGCTGAAGGTAGCTGATGTGAATGGATTGGGCTCTGAGATGCTTGGAAGAGGAGAGGACATAGACACTTCTGGCCCTTCCTGCTCCCTCTGCTTACTACAACGCCAGCAAGAGGTCCTTCCCCTCTGCCCCAGTCCATGTGTGTGACCTTTGCTGATGGCCTGCCTGTGCTGTGCTTACAATGTGCATCAATAAATCACTACCGCCGGAGCCCTCACCTACTCCTTCCTTGGGCAGGGTTGTGGGCTGGGGTGTATATATATTCCCTATCTTAAAGGGAAACTTGAAAGTACTCTCAGGGGTCACTAGATCTATTCAGGAAAGGGATCTCGGGAATCCTGTTCCAAAGCCAAAAGGAATTGGGATTGAGGAACACTCTGTGTTGTAATCCCCCTTCTTGGAAAACAGGGCTAGAATACTCCTTCAGGGGCAGTTAGGTGGCACAGTGGATAGAACACTGGCCCTGGATTCAGGAGGACCCGAGTTCAAATCTGGCCTCAGACACATAACACTTACTAGCTGTGTGACCCTGGGCAAGTCACTTAGCCCCCATTGCCCAACAACAAAAAAAAGAAAAAGAAAAAGAAGGAAGAAAGAAAGAAAGAAAGAAATTGAATAGAATACTCCTTCAGGAATCGGAAAACTGGTACAGATCTTAAAGATCATCAATCTAGTCTAGGGCCTTACAGACAGGGAAACTGAGGCATAGAGCCAAGTAAGTGGCATGCCTAAGATCCCAAAGTTAATTACTAGTAAGGGCTGTGACTAGCCTCCTAATCTGTTCTTTCTAGTAGATTTTGCTGCCTCAGTCCCAAACCTGGATATCCTCTCCCCCTCGCCAGGCTCTGAAAGGTTGCTGTTCTGAGCTGCCTCTTATGAAAATGGCCCCTTTGCCTGAGCAGAAAAGATCCAGAAAAAGCCGAGCAGCCCATTGGCTCTTAGCGTGCCTCCCTCAGGAAGTGCTGACGCGTAAGAGCTGACGATCACCCTTTCTGAACAGAAGTAAGGATAGCCGGGAGGCTGGGTGAAAGGCCTCCCCCAGGAAAAAGTCAAAAGCGGCCCAGTGGCCTGGGATTAAGTATATGCTTGGTGGCAGGTCATAGACAGGTTAAAGGCAGCTAGGTGGCCCATTGGACAGAATGCTGGACCTGGAGTCAAGAAGATGACTTCAAATCTGGCCTCAGATACCTCCTGGCTGAGCGACTCTGGGTAAGTCACAACTTCCAACTGGCCCCGTTTCTTCATCTGTAAAATGGGGATGATGATCGCATTCCAAGGGTGGTTGTGAGAATCTAATGAGATCCTAACCATAAGTGCTTTCCAAACATTAAAGTGCTATCTACATGGTAATGATTATTAAAGACAGGACCTCATACAGCCCTTTTCTGGGACTGAATGATATTTCCTGGTGCTGTCCTACCTTCCCTGCCCCAGCTTTCCAAGATGGGAATTCCAGTCTAGTTTGGCACCAGGGGGAGCTGTGGAGTCATAAAACTATGTCATGTCATTTAAAAAAAAAAAAGATTAAATGAGAAGGGTGGGTGGGGCAGAGAGTTTAGAAGGCCATGGATTAGAAGAGATGGCAAAAGGTCACCTAGGTCATCCTTCCTCCAAGTAGGCCTGCACGAAACTATCTCAGCTAAACGAGAATCTTGCCTTTTTTTGAGTCCAAAGGGAGCCAGTTTCCCAGCTTCCCCTGGTAACCCTGGGAAAGAAAGATCATCCCTTGATTCTACCCCTTGTTCTCTTTATTGGGGGTGGGCGTGGGGAAGGGATGATGTGGAAGGGCTGAGGAGTTTGAGAGATGATTTTCCATTCCCAGTTCTAACTAGTGACTTCTTCCTGTTTCTTGGGCAGTCACCATGATCAACTGGGGCAGGAAGTGAGAATTTGCCCTAAGGGGCTTTCCCAGCCAACTTCCAGAGCCCCACTTTTCCTCTGGTCTGACCCAGTTGGTAGACTGACAGGTTAAATATGGGTGAAAAGGCACACACAATACAGTCACTCTTTCAGCTGAGAGGACTGAAGACAACTTTGGAACCTCACGTTGCCCCCGACGTGATGCTTCCCATCCCCTCCCCGCTGACTGAAACTCCTGCCTTATCTCTTAGGGTAGGGCAGGCAGAATGAGCAGAGAGACAGCGGGGATGAGAGCCACAGAGAACATTGGGGGACAGGTATAGCTGGAGTATCTGTGTCCGTGGGGCCAAACTCTTGGGCATTCACATAACCACCTCCATTTTGTACACATCCCTAAAAACTCATGCTCGCGCACACTTCTGATGATACTTGGATATACTCCTATGTTCACATATGGACATAGACTAGGACAAGCTCATATATACACACGCAAACTTTCCCTCCTATTGTCTGTCTACCCTTCCTTACTGCCCCCCTCCTCGGCTAGAGCCCCTCTTGCTATCCCTTCCTCCTTTTCCAAGGGGTTGAACCTTATTTTTCTTGTGCTGTGGCTTAGCGGACAAACCCACATGGTAGGCTGCCACAAGGCTGCCTGCCACAAGGATTCCACATAGTTCCTCCTGGCTCCTGTCACCTACCCTTCTCAGCCTCTGAGGAAAAGGTGACCACAGGGGACCAGAGACCATCCTTTGAGGTAGGGGGCCCTCAGGAAGCAAAGCTGAGGCCTCCTAAGGCAACTGGCCATAAAAAAGCTAGGCCACTACATCTGGAATATATTAGAACCAGCTGTGGTGGGGAAAAGGAGGTGGGGGTAGGGAGAGGTGGTGATGAAGCAAAAGAAACAGCAGCCCTCACTTGATCAGGCAGCCAGTAGGAGGGATGGGACAAGAGACCCCTAACATTTATTTAGGAGAATGATGGCTTGGGTTCAGGCTAACCCCCTCTCCCACTCCCACTTCCGCTTAGGCTCTAGAATTTTTCTACCTGGCATAAATCCTGTGATATGCCACCATGGTGGAGTAGGTAGTCACTACATCATGTGATTTAAAGGATGCCTGTGCCCTCAAGTACGTTATCCACCCTAACTTTGACTTCTTATGTTCAGCCATTAGTAATTCATTGCTTTAGGTTAAACATTGCCTACTCCTTAGATTGTATTTTAAGATTCACACACAACTACATGGAGTAATGACTTTGCAGGGACTAGTTTATCAGTAGCTTTCTTCTAAGATTGGAGTGGGGTCCTGTGTTCCATAGAGACCCTAGAATATCTGGAATAGCAGGGGATAATAAAAGAGGAGAAAAGGGCAAAAAAAAAGGGAGAAATCAACAGTTGAACAGAGTCCACTTCACTGGCCTAGGAACCACTCAATTGCCACATGTCTCCCAACATCACCCCCAAGAAGGGCCCCTCAATAACCCTGGGAGGGAATCTGCAAGATGTCTCTGGTACTGTCTAGATTCATAAGGATGCCTTACTATGACTACACCTCTCTTTTACCCCTGTTACCCATTACCCCGTTAAAGGGGCCAAAGAACTTTCAATCTTTGGTTTCTTGCCCTAATCCAGAGCATTGTGGCTACCGCTGCTGCCTGCATCCCTGCCCCATGTAGGAAAGCTGGCAAAGGGCTGCCTAAGTAGCATTCATTTTAGGAATGCATGACAGTCAAAAATCGTACCTCAGAAGCAGCAAAAATCCATGCAACACAGAAGTTGAGGTTCCAACAATACTGGTTAGAAATGACTTCAGAGAGGACATCTCTGGCACTTTTTGCTCTTCATGCCTTGGGGTGCCCAAATCAAGGAATCCCTTAGACCTTCTTATATGGGCTTCATTCTAGGGCCTTCTTCTCTCTCACAGGTGTTCCTAGGGTGTTTTCCTGTAGGCAAGGGCCATTCTTGATAGCCCTTGATTTTAAAACATTTTCTGGACCTTATACGACCCAATCTGATCCCAGGGTTATGCAAGAATTGCTTTCCCCTTAGAATTATATGCCAGAGCTAGAAATGACATCCATTTCAACCTCCTCATTTTATAGATGAGGAAATTAAGGCCCAGAGAAGTTACGTGACTCAACTAATGTCACACATGTATTAAGTGACTTATCCAGGACCAGAGATTTCCTGCCTTCCAGTATGATGTTCATTCTACCACATCACAGTGCCTTGTGCTTGGCTGGGGGAATTCTGCACAATGTGGAAGATATGCCTAGGACTCAGGGGTAATGAGGGTATGTAGTGGTGGAGATGGTGAGGTTAGGGACAAAGTCTTAGAGAGATCAGTTTGCTCACCTCACCACATGCCCCAGTTATTCAGAAGTTCAAAACACCATATTTAGCTCCCGGGAAAGAAGGGTGGCATTTTGGGGATTGAATGAGCTATAGGGACAGTGTCTGGAGGTTATTGGTGCCTGCAAGAGCATAGGACAGAACCCAAGAAAAAGGGAGGAGCAGTGCCACTCCAGAATTGGAGGAGATGGTGGGGTGGGGTAAGAACCGAGGATGGAGGCATATTCCTGGAGAACTTATTAATTTATTAAATTCTGAAATACGTCTCCAGGGACAGCAACCAGTTCCTGAACAGCTCCCACCATCCATCAGAAACGGTTTGTTCCTCCTCTTCCTCCTCTTCCTCTTCTATCCACTCCTCGTCTTCTGCTGGTTTCTTTTCTTCACTCTCCTGGAAGACCTCATCATCGGCTTCCATTTCATTGTATTTGATGGCTGTCAGCTGGGTCATCTTGTCTTGGGTCCCAGGTGATAGATTATTGTATTCACCGTGCTCCTGGGAAAACTCCAAGCACTCTATAGGTAATGACGAATCTGATCTGATCACTATGGAGGGAACCTGTACAGCTGAGTGTACTTTCCTGGTCCCGGACTTTCGTTGCCTCTGGGCTTTTATATTCTGGAGGGGGACCCTACCACTCTTGATTTTCCTAGACATGTTCCTGTACCACCGCTTCCAAACCATTGGATTCCGAGTATGATTTCTGACACACGTCCTTCTGGAGCGAGGTGACTTCCCTCTGGGTGGCATATTGGTAACTGACCATTTCTTGAGTTTGGGTTTGTTATAACTTGGGGACTTGAGGACCTTGTCAGATTTGGTCTCACAAGTAGAGGCAGAGAGTCTGTCTTTGCCCGTAATGGCAATATGGGATTTTTTCCTGGCCTGACCATGTTTAGACAGCTTGATCCTGGGCTGAGTTTGTCTATATCTCTTCAAACCAGCCCTGCTCCTCCTGGTCATGGCCTCACGGTATCTTTGGGAGGCTCGCACCTTGCT